TCTTGAACTTCTTTGGCACCGTACGTAGCCCACCGTGCTAATCGGAGGTATGGGATGGTTGCGAGTGCTGTCAATGTGGCGGTGTTGACAACAAGCATCCACTTGAAACGAACGCGCTTCCTAAAATCCGCGATTTTATCATTTCATGCCGATACGTGGAGATGAGCGGGTTCACCGCGGGTCTTAAACAGCCCTTCCCCAGCCAACATGCACTGGGGGAAATTCCATCAATATTCTCATTAATTATCTGCTTTGGAAGACGAAGAATAAAAAAGCTAATCCTGCAGGCATCGGGGTCAAACATTTGTGACGATGTGTGACGGGGGGTGGGGCTGAGAAATGTGACGTCACATCAAAATGCGCAACTTTAAATAAACATAGACAACACGTTCTACTTAATTAAATAGACTTTTTAATAAATGTTTAATCCTACAACAATAGAGTGCAGCGCCACATTAAATACGCACTACAATTACAATAGTTTAAAGCGATTTGAAGCATGTTTTATTTTTTTTTGGGGGGGGGGGGACAGAGCTTTGTGTCGTCATATTTGAGGGGGGGGTCTGACTTTTTGTGTCGCCGCGTGACGATGGGGGGGGGGGTCAAAAATCGTCAGAAATCGCGTGACGTCATTTTTGGACGGCCCCTTTGGCACCGTGCGTCGCTGAATCATTGCTCATCGGAGTGTCAGCTGTATGACAACGCGACGTGGCACGCAGTGCCAACGCACACCTGTCACCCCCTAACCATTGCCTCTCTTATTACAGACCAATTCAGACCTTATTGGTCACCCCGTGCCCCTTACAAATCTCAACATTCATCCTACAAAGTCCCATCACAAGGGGAGAAACACAAAACATTGTTTTGCCCATTTTAAAACGGCTATAGTAAGCCGTATGGACCTGAGAACTCAATCTCCCTGTACACCAATACGGGGTAACCCGGTACGGGTTGACACGGCATGCCAACGTGATACTGGATCGCGCCTTCGGCTCTAAGAGATTCGTTTGTGACTTAACTGGAGATTAATTAATGATAAACCAGCCAGGGCTTCCCTCAATGTACGCGGGTTCGGTTTGTTGCGCTATTTCACGCTGTGGGGGCCGTCCATAAATGACGTCACTCGATTTTGGACCACCCCCCCCCCCCCCATCGTCACGCGGCGTCACAAAAAGTCAGACCCCCCCCTCAAATATGACGACACAAAGCTCTGCCCCCCCCCCCACGCCCCAAATATAAAACGTGTTTCAAATCGCTTTAAACTATTGTCATTGTAGTGCGTATTTAATGTGGCGCTGCACTCTGATGTTATGGGAGAAAAGATTTATTTAAAAAGTCTATTTAATTAAGTAGAACGTGTTGTCCGTATTTATTTAAAGTTGCGCATTTTGATGTGACGTCACATTTCTCAACCCCCCCCCCCCCCCCATCGTCACACATCGTCACAAATGTCTGACCCCCCCCCACCCCAGGTGCGTGACGTCATTTATGGACGGCCCCAGTGCAATGCGGCTACCTCTGACCCAAAAGTCGCTCTCTGGAGTTGCTGTGCGCGTGTGTGGTGGGGGGAGCGGTGGCGCAGCGGTTAGCGCACTGCGCTACGAACCCCGACTACACGAGGTCGATTCCCGCTCACCTCATTCCTCCGATTAGCACGGTGCGCTACGAACGGTGCTAAAGAAGTTCAAGATACAAACATACGATGTGTTAACACTGGAACAGGAGGGTGTGCTATGGGGTTGCCACCTTTTCGATTGTAGACCAACCCTGGGCAATGTCTCAGTGCTTGGTCTATTATCATAATTATACAGTAAATGACAATACAATAATTATATCAAAAAGACTTACTTGAAACTGCGCCAAAATAAATCAAAACGAACAAAAGTAGATCGGAATTCAATGTTAAATGCTTGACATTTAATCTGCCGCATAGGCGATTCATGGTCAAGATGTTGTGTATGTTTGCATGGGCATGGCTAGAGTTGCCATCCGTCCGGGAATTAGCATCTGTGTTCAGGTGGTATTGATCTGTACCCTCGATATTGCACTCGTATTGAGAAATCTGTCCAGGTTTGGTCTGCAGTCAGTAGAATAATTTTTCAACGCAGCGTATGTTTGCATGGTGAACTTCTTTCGCACCGTACGCAGCCAACCATGCTTTACTGGAGGTGCGGGGGACTAACAAACTGAACGCAAAAAGAACAGGGACACAGCCTTGAAAACACAGAAGTGCATCTACACGTAGGGCGGTTGTTGAAGGGAAGAGGAATGAAAATGATTAAGAGAGGCGTATCAGGGCAGAACAAAGTGCTTATTGTTATCTTAACTTAATAATGAAACAGTAACTGAGCCATATGCCTTAAGCAGAACGTTTTTTTTCAAACAGATGCATCACAAACGGAAAATAGAACCAATGTTTAGAAATGCACAAGGAAGCGTAGAGATGATGCACATCCTAAGAATTACACTGATACTGGAAGACGGACAAGTCAATTGGACATCATATGCAAATTAAGGACGTAATTTTAGTTTAGAAAGGTGGGGTGAGGCAGGACACACAACTTGAAGTGATGACGGCCGGTGGTCGAGACTAACGTGGGAATGGGAGCTAAGGAGGGACACAACCGGCAGTGTCAAGTGCGGAGATGGAGTGAATAAATCAACAGTATATGAATTTTGATTTGTGAGAATTTTATTGTGTTATATCTTTATTAATGTATTGTTTCCCTTCTACGTGATTTTACCGAAAGAACCAAGTATATAGTATATGAATTAGATCATTTATTTTGCTAACCTTACAATTAATCGTACATTTTAATTGTACCAGTTTAATGTCTTCAGCTTTAGTTTCTAATTCTCTAGGATAAAACAAGTTATTTTGTCAAAAATAATGACGTTAATTGTCGCATACATTGAAAGTGAAATTTTAAATTAACCGTGTGAGTCTTCAAATACTGTTCTGGTTATTCCCACCTTGTTGGTGTCCCTATTGTCTCCTGCACCCACTAACAACGGAGTTATTGTTGGGGTGGTGAGAAGCACAGCCAGCAGCCAGCCAGGAAACTCGAGATATAGAATATTTTAATAGCAGCGTGACTTACACTGCTACAGCAGCGATGTTATCATGTAACTAGTTACATTCTCTGTGCCGCAAACATTAAATGGAAACTAATTTTTTTTTGTGGTACGATTGTCCCCACGATTTGAGGGCCAATTCCTTAGCGAAGGATTTTCTACCAATTGAAGGATGATACAAGTGAAATGTGAAGTGGTAAGATTGATCTTAGATCATTGCAAGCCAATCCCAGATTCTGAGTTCGGAGTGACTCGGCAGGGCCGACGGCGTGAGCCTGGCACCTTGGGAGTTGTCATGGACAGGGAGCAATGAGGCCGCGTTACCGGTTGTCTTAGTTTTGGGGAATTCTGTGTCCAGAACTCTGATCCACAGTAACGATGAAACAAACACAATGTAGAAAAAAAGAACAGTTGCAACTGTTACAGGAAATTGAAAGGCATTTTAATACAAAAAACAAACATCATTACCATTCACACAAACAGTATATATGTTATAGTAGTTCGAAAATTAGACTGTGGAAAATAAACACCTAATCCAATGAAGTTGAATGTGAACGCTGAAACACGTAAATATTACTGAACATTGCGTGGATAGAAGAAACTGATTTAACTAAATATCCATACAATTAAAACATCAATAAAGCAGGTTGCTGGAATGGATCCTCCAGGCGCCACTCTACGCGTGAGTGGTGCCAGTGGACTGAGAGGCCGTGCCAGGAGTCGCTGTCGCTGGCTGCTCAATGACCACCACCCTCTCGGCCGCTGCAGGGAGGGCGCGGCGCTGAGCCTTGAACTTCAGCTTCCCGTCTTCAGTCAAGCAGCAGCTCACGCTCTGCGGGTCCACGTCCCTGGGCAGCTGCGTCTCCCTGTGGAACTCCTGGCAGCTGTGGCTGTAGCTGCCGCTGCTGACTTCTCCGCTCTTCACCTCGCGCCGTCCGGCCACCACCAGCTTGTCTCCAGACACCTTCACGGCCAGGTCCTGTGGGGAGAAGTCCTGCACGTCCAGGGACGCGACAAACCCGCCTCCCTTGCTCCTGTGGATCTTCAATCTGGAACCCACTGCTCACGGCCGGCTGCTGCAGCAGTGCATCTCCGAGGCTGCCCGGAGCCCGCGTGTGGCTGCTGAGCTGATCGACTCCACGGAAGATTCTCTCCATCCTCTCGATCTCGCTCCTCATGTCTCGCTGCAGCTGCTGGAAGAGACTTTCACCGCGGGGGTTCCAGACCGGCCAGCCTGGCCAGACGCTCCTCTCCATCACGTGCATCGCAGGGAAGTAAACACTGAGGGCCATGCTTGTTGATGTGCTTCACAGTGAGGCTCGCTTCAGCTGTGAGCGCTGCTCCCTCCTCCGCCGATGTTCTGCCAGTGCAGCTACAGGAGCTGTGTGGGGGCTACCGTCCCCCGCCATCACTGAATTGTCGGGGCCGCTGCTCACCGACTCCCCCATTCCACTCACACCGCTACCCCCCGGCTGCTCCTTCAGGTCCAGACTAACGACCCCTAACGTCTCGCCCCCCTGTACCTCTGCCTGGGATGTAGACCGCGTTTACATAGTTTAATTATCGGCTCGTACGCTCCGCGCTTGCGATGCGTTACACTGTGCAAAGGCGGGGTGGGGCTGTAAGCGCGCTCACCAGTAAATCTCCGTCCCGCCCGTAAACAAACAGGCGCGGCGCGTGTTTCCCTCCCACCCGCGCTCCACGTGTGCCGACAATAACAAACACGCCCCTACCCTCTGCCCCTAAACAAACCAATCGCACACGAAGGGGTTGGAGCCGGGGGACGGGCGGGCAGGGTTTCTGCCGTGCGCGCCGCTGATTGGGGACGCTCGCTTGGCTCTGAGTTAAAGGTCCCGCTCAAACAGTCGCGCGAATACGCGCACGCTCGGCGCTCTAACTCGCTATCTCGCGACCAGACCCGTGTGCGGGTGCGTGACCGCGGCACCGCCACCCAGGTACGCGATCGCTAAGCACTATGGTGGGCAATCGTGCGGGCACGTAAACACCACCCGCTTCGTCTCGAGGTGCACAGCCGCGCATACACGTAGACACCCAGCGCACACTGCCCTCCACTTCACGCTCCCAAAAGACCACGCAACACAGTTGTTTTTCCCCCCACTAGCGAATTTTATTTACCTGTGATGGTATGGTCAGTGGACGCTAACCTATCCCTCGGAGGTCTACGAGTCGATTTCCCCTACCGCTCGCCCCGCTCTCTATCCTGGATGTAAAACGGCTGAACTTACGCCTCTCTCACTCGTACTTACTTCTCCCCGATGTACTGACCGCTGTGAGGGAATGAGGCGACGAGCCTGCCGATGCTGGAGTACGTCTCACGGACGTCTCGGATGGCTGACTCTCCTGCTCCCGGGACCGCGATGATCTTGAACCAGAAGAACCCCCCTGCTACCCCGATCCCCCCCCTTTTTATCCTACCTACAACAAAGGAATTTTTGCTCTTTCCGACCCTTGGCCTCCCGTCCAATCAGGGGCTCGGATTCTCCCGCCCTTTCGATGTCCGGATCCCAGCTCAGATGACGTCGCCGCAGTGATCTCACCGACGTCCGCTCTCTGTTCTCCCGCTACCAGTCCACTGACCCGTGCATGTGTGAGGCTCCACTCGCGGTGGTTCGATGGCCCTTGCCGCGACCATGCAACTTTAATATCAGGTCGCGGCGCCGCAGTGCATGTCAGCTACAGGGGGGAGGATCGCCCAATTTCCCGGCCGCAGGAAACCATGAGGTTCGATCCCACTAGGGACTTCTGGACAAAAACCTATCAGCCGGGTGACCTCCCCTCCTGGCTCTACGTGGGGCGTGTGTACGTTCGTGTGTGGGGGGGGGGGGTGCGCAGCGTCGGCGTCGACATCCCCCGGTGGCGGCTTTGCAGCGGTGGCCACGACCTCGGCAGAGTGGCCCTGCTGCAGCGGCCTCACGACTGTGCAGGGGCCAAAACGCGGACGTCTGAGAAGGCACCGGCCCCGGGAGAGTGGCGGGAAATCCGCGGCATAGGTGATGGCGCCGCGGTAGCGGGCGCGGTTCCGCTGGAGCGGCTCCGCTGCGGCGGCACCACAGCTGCTTTTATAGCCCTGGCAGTAGCTACGAGCAGATGCCAGGGGCAGATAGAAGCGTCCAGAATGACGCAGCTGCTCCCAGCGGCTTCCTCCATCCGCACAGAATCTAGAGCGTCACTCGTGTCTCAGATGTGAATAATTAGTATTGTATTACAATTCTATAAACAATACAGTGTTGTAGTGTATCACGTGGTGATGTTCCATTGCACAGCCACGTGCGGAATGCTATAATGACGAAAGAGCCGTGGAAAGCTCTGACATCACGGTGACGTCATGGCCCGGTGACGTCACGGCAGAGGCCAGAGTGGAGTCGGCTCCTGCAGAGGCAACCACCTCGCCCCACGCTGCTCCTCCACTTCGAGGTCTTCAGAGAACTTCGCCACCACCACCATGGCGATCTTCACGGCTGTCCTCACTGTGGTTCTGCTGCTCACGCAGCCGATGGTGGAACTCCTCGGAGGATCTCGGCGTGGGGGTTCGGACATCCACGGCTCCAACACCACCACCACCACGATCAACTACTCGGGACTCATGAAGAACGTCTCTGCACCAGCAGGGGTCGCCACCTGGGGACCGATGTTCACTAGCGGCCACGCAGATGGACAAGAGAGGGACGGCCCAGCCTGGCCCCACGGGATGTCCTGGCTCATGCACAGCGCGCCGACTCCTCTCCTGCACGCTGCGGGTCAGCTGTGCAGTAGCCACAGTGAGGACATTGTGGACAGCGTGCTCCCTGCCCTACTGCAGGCTATGGGTGAGCTGAGCAGCAGCTGCCAGGCCATAGTGGACAGCATGCTCCCTGCTCTGCTCCACGTTGTGGGTCAGCTGTACAGCGGCTGCAAGGAGGCCATCAGCTCCACCGTGCCGCTGAACACCCTGCACATCGCCGTGCATCTCTGGCGTTTCATACGTCGCCAAGTGAGTGAGCAACATCCATCATCATCACCACCATCAGCCATGGTCAATCCACTAGTGGGTAGAGACCTCCACGAGCCGTCGCCACCTCCCACGATGCCGCTGTGCAGTAATCCACCCAGCACCTGCACGTGGAGCGATTTCATTGCTTCATCTCCCCACTGGGCACCCTCTCGGATGACCCCCTCGCAGCCCGTCGGCATCACTCGCCCCCTTCACACCTCCACCGATCCCCCTCAACTCCACTCACGGTGTCTTCAACAGCCTGGTTGGGCACTGGAACAGTATCCCGGACAGTGCCGGATTAAGCTCGTGCGGGTCCTGTAGCTTATATTATAAAGGTGCCCAAAATAATGAAAAAACACAATTATTGAAACACGAAGTTTTTAACTTGCATAGTAAAGTAATTGTAATTTTACTATAGTAATAGAGCAAGTACAGAATCACTGAACCGGGATTTATAGCGTGAGATCATTTACCACGGGGCCCTTGAAAGTGCGGGGCCCACAGCTAATGATTATTTTGTTCCGAGGATAATCCGGCACTGATCACGGATTGAGTATGAGGAGCAGTGATGAGATTTAAAGTATTTTTTTACATGTTATTAAAATGTTATGTTTAGTAGAAAATATAATGCTGTTTGTCTCTTAGCTGTGATTCTTAAAAACACTGTTGTTACTCAATGGTCTTTCGGTAAAGTCACGTAGAAAGAAAATAAAATAAATAATAGAATACGACGTTTCGATTGCAACCCAAGCAGTCGTCATCAGGTGAAACTAAATTTGAGAGAGAGACCAAACACAGACAGGGAGACACAAAGATCCCCCGTATAGCCTGAACAGACTGTAGGGGCAAGTGCTGTTAGCGAGCACCTATGAAGGCCGGAACAGTACACGAGGGGGTGGGTGGCCAGCACCACGCCCGACCGCCTTTGTCTCCCTAGTGGCGATGTTTACACACCGCACCAGGTACTCATTTGAGGCTGAGTAGACCTAGGGGAGGCCCGGGACCGGTTCAGATAATCGTCACTGGTGTTGGCCGTGAGCAGGAATCGAACCCGGGTCGCCAGGTTCATAGCGCAGCGTAGCGCTAACAGCTGCACCACCGCTCCCCACAACAGGGAGACACACAGACACACAAGCAGAGAAGGACGGTGATCAACCAGGCAAAGTATTATTTGTTGTGTTGGCCGACTCAATGAGTTGCATTACATTTCTAAGTTTGCTGAGTTTGATCTTTTTTCTATCAGCTTGTACCCTCTGTAAATTTCACCCCCACTATCTCGCCCGTTACGGCAGCCCCTCCGCTCCCACTCCCCCTCGGAGTAGCCGAGGGATTAGCCGGGGTATGCTTGCTCTGCGATCTTACATTTACTTGCAAATCCCACCACAAACGTATATAGTGTAACCTTTGGTTGCAGTAGCTCTCTCGCTACATTTCTTCCTGTCTCAGCAGTCCGCCTGCTGTATTATTTCACCTGAAGACGATTGCTTGTGTTGCGATCGAAACGTCGTGATCTACAGTGAAACCTTGGATTGCGAGTAACTTGGTCTGCGAGTGTTTTGCAAGACGAGTATAGTACTATAGTGTTGTGACCACGTGTATACTGTTTACTATAGTACTATAGTGTTGTGACCACGTGTATACTGTTTACTATAGTACTATAGTGTTGTGACCACGTGTATACTGTTTACTACAGTACTATAGTGTTGTGACCACGTGTATACTGTTTACTATAGTACTATAATGTTGTGACCACGTGTACACTGTTTACTACAGTACTATAGTGTTGTGACCACGTGTTTACTGTGTACTACAGTACTATAGTGTTGTGACCACGTGTATACTGTTTACTACAGTACTATAGTGTTGTGACCACGTGTTTACTGTTTACTACAGTACTATAGTATTGTGACCACGTGTATACTGTTTACTATAGTACTATAGTGTTGTGACTTCGTGTATACTGTTTACTACAGTACTATAGTGTTGTGACTACGTGTATACTGTTTACTACAGTACTATAGTGTTGTGACCACGTGTATACTGTTTACTACAGTACTATAGTGGTGTGACCACGTGTATACTGTTTACTATAGTACTATAGTGTTGTGACCACGTGTATACTGTTTACTACAGTACTATAGTGTTGTGACCACGTGTGTACTGTTTACTATAGAACAGTGGTTCTTAACCTTGTTGGAGGTACCGAACCCCACCAGTTTCATATGCGCATTCACCGAACCCCTCTTTAGTGAAAAATAAAATGTGATTTTTTTCAAATTCAAGACATAGATATGTTTTTTACTGGTACACAAAATGAGCCGTGCATGAACATTACCTTGTTCAAAGAATAAAACCAACACAATGTATAAACTCACAACAAATTACATACCTGGAAATCAATGTGACTTCTGCTGTTGCCTTTGAGAGATCAGTTCAGATATGCGTGGCTTCACCTTGGCAAGTGCCACTCTCATGTCATTTTCACAGCAAAGTCTGTTCCTTTTCTTCGTTTTTATGTCCAGCATCCTCGAAAAGGATTGCTCACAAAGATATATTGTAACAAATGGTATAAAAAAATCCAGGGCTTTCTTAGCAATAACTGGATACTTGTTCATTTGTCGACACCAAAACGTTGAGAGCGTTGTTGTTCTGAAGAGTTGCTGTTGAACCTGGCTCTGCTGAATTTCAATTATTTCGTCGAGGAATTCATCATTGACATCTGCTGTTTCAACAGCAAACGTGAACGGCTGTCTCACCCATGCTGGATATGACTCTCTTGTAGGGAAATATCCGTCGAGAGACTTTGCAAGCTCATCTAAGTGCGTGGCAATTGTTTGCTTCAGTTCCGTGGATACAGAAATATCTCCGATTCCAGACACATCTTCGATCTTACTTGCACAGTCGTCCAGAAGCGGGAAGTTTGCGAAGTTATTGTTCTCTGTTCGTCGTTTCCATAACGGTAGCTTTTTTTGAAAAGCCTTCAGGTGTTCTTCCGCTTCCATGATATTGACTCCACCACCCTGTATCTGCTGATTGAGATGATTGAGAGCTGCGAATATATCAGCCATGTACGCTAAAATGAGAATGAACTCAGGATTTTTGAAGCAATCTGCATGGCAGTGTTGGTGCTCTTGCAAAAACAGGGCTAATTCCACACGCATGGCAAAAACACGATTCAGCACCTGTCCCCGGGATAACCACCGAATATTAGAATGGAGCAGAAGTACCTCAAATTCAGAGCCCATTTCTTTACACAGCTCACTGAAGATGCGGTGCCTCAGAGCACTTTTTCGCACATAGTTCACACATTCCACCACAGTTTTTAATACTTCTGCCATTTTTGGAGGTAAGGTTTTTGTTGCCAACGCATGCCTGTGCAGAATACAATGCGTCACAATGATGTGTAGGTGCATCGGCCTTTACTAGCGCACCAAAACCAGACTTTCTTCCCAGCATGACTGGAGCTCCGTCCGTACAAACTGCAGAAACCATATCCCATGAAAGATTGTTGTCTCTGAAGAAGTCATCCACAAGCTTCTTCACATCGGCTGCCTTCGTTGTTGTTGTAAGAGGCTTACAAAATAAAAACTCTTCTTTTATCATGTCGTCTTTCACATAGCGTACAAAAACAGCAAGCTGGCTTAGATCAGAAACGTCTGTGGTTTCGTCGAGTTGAAGGCTGAATTTTGCCGGGCTTGAAATCAGATCCGCGACTACTTGAGCCAAGATGTCTTTACTCATGTCTTCTATTCTGTCACTGACGGTGTCATTTGAAAGGGGAATTTGGGATAATTTACCTTCGGCCGCTGTTCCGAGTATCAGATTCGCCATCTTTAATGCAGCTGGTTTCACAAGTGTTTCACCAATGGTGTGTGGCTTGCCCTGCTTTGCGATCAGGTAAGCAACTTCGTACGATGCTGTCAGGATCGGTTTGTTAACAGGTACAAATCCAAGAGCAGGCAGAGTGGCCCTTTCATCGAATCTGGCTCTCTTCACCCTGAATTCAGCAAGTGTTGTGTTCTTGTATTCCCCGTCTCCATGCAGCTTCAAGAAGTGTTCCTTTAGTTTTGCCGGTGCAAGACTAGAGTTGCTCAACTTGGCGTTGCAAATCATGCAGATAGGACGCTCACTCCCATCACGTTCCGTGATACATGAGAATCCATGTTGTACATATTCGTCCGACCACTTTCTTCTTTTGCCCGACATAGTTAGTATGGATAAAATATTAAAGAAATCACACGACGTACGACAACAACAGTCACACGTTGAGTACTGAGTACGCACTAAATTCCCCGCAGCGCTGATTGGCCAAGCAGTGTAGCATGATCATCTGCAGCCAGTGATGGCCAAGCGGGCCGTGTGTGTCATCACAAATTTACACAATAATTCAAGTGTGTCCGGACCTCCGTGGCGGGGGCTCTGCCGAACCCCTGAGATCGACTCACCGAACCCCTGGTGTTCGATCGAACCC